CATCGTCGTCATGACCATCAGCATCATCATCATCATCACAGTCGTCGTGGTGGTGTGCATCGTTTTTTTAGGCGGTTGGCCTATACCAGAGAGAATCCAAGACTTGAGACCCCCCCTGCGTGCCCGAATGAAAGCAAGGAGACGCTGTCCTTCTCACAGCGAGCCCTGGCCTTCAGAAGCTAGGACGGCTTCGAGAGGAGTCTACCTCTGTGTCAGGGTTTGTGCTTGACGGTTTGCTTCGGAAACTGAAGCGTTATTCCATGAAGGGTTCCTGCCACGAATTCTGCGGTCACGTGGCTTGCGGCTTCGATGTAGAACAGCTATAAGCTTTCACCTTCTGGCACAAGGCATCGTCCGGCACCCGTACTTTGACATCTTCTTTGCGGCCGTGGTCATCACAAACTCCCTCTTCATCGGCTTCGAGGTGTCGATGACCGATCCCGCAGCTGGGCTGCAGAAGAAGATCTTGGAGGTCTATCTGGCTCAGGGAATTACCCAGAGGCTCCAATGTAGTTCCTTTTTGAGTCTGTTATGGTTTTTTGGTAAGGAATTATAGTATACTATCCGAAAGGAACTACATAGGAGCCCTTGGGTACAGGCTTCAGGGCAGCTTACGGGCTTCAGTACGGGTAAGAACCAGGGCACTGCAGGGCTCCCCGTAGGCAGAGAAGACACACCACTCATATAAACCCTATTAGCCCTATAAACCCTAAAATGCCCCATAAACCCTATAAACCCTAAAACACTATGCGGATTTCCGCCAGCAGCTGCATAGCATGCGCAGCTGAGACTTCGGTTGTGTTGTGTCCATGTTTTGTTGCAGAGAAGCTTGCCTGTGGCCTATAGAAGCCATTGTAGTTCCTTTCTTCGATCTAAACGTCTAACCAGCTTTATAGCTAGGATCCTTTCAAGAAACCCCACAAAAAAGAGCAATAATGGTGACGATCGGTGGTATCTGTGGCGATACTCAACTTCTGGGTGGCCGAATCTGCCAGAATTTCTTCAGAAACGGGCTCCAAAAACCTGAGCAGAGGACCCTAAACCCTAAACCCTAAACGAACGACGGAGCTCGAAACCATATGCCTTGTTTTGCAGAGGGAGACCCGCCTCAGAAATCTGTGCGGACGTCGGGCTTCCTGCAATCCTTTGCTCCGTGAATCGTAGATATTTGAAGATTCAGGGCGTAGGATTTAGAGTGTTTGTGCTTTAACTACAGGATTTTAGGGTTTAGATTAGGGTTCAATGCTAGCTCTGGGCTTGCACCTTCTACTTTGGGATTTCTGTCAGGGCCGGGGGGCTGCCCGAGGCCAATGACACGCTGCTTACGCGGCCGCTGTGGATCCAAACGATTCAATATATTTACACTGCTCTGCAGCTTGCCTACATGGAGAAGTGTGTCCTTTAATTTCTTGGGGCTTTTTGTTACAATGGCAGTGTGTTGTCCAGCCTGCGCAGATTCTAACGATTCGATCAAGAGGAGCGGCGCCTCTGAGCGGCTGAGCAGGTACACCTTGATGTTTTTAGATAGGTTTGGGCGCCACGAAGCCTGGCAACGAGGGGTTCGATGTTTTGGGAGTCGAGAAAAAGGTATAATCACACCTTGCGACTTTCGCGTACCCGCGACTTGCCGCGAAGATCTCGTAGTTTTCCTCTTCGGGCTTTTGCTTCACTGCGCAGCCTGCATGGACCCCATCTAGTTGCAATCCCCGACTCTAGATCCCCCACGACGGTGGAGGTGCCAGGAGCCATAATAAAGGAACCCCCCTCAACAAAACATGTTATAGGTAATTAGAAAGGCCCCTATATTCGGGAATGATGTTTGGCACCTGTTAGAGCTGACCTCTCGAAATCGACGACTGGAAAAAGAGTGACTCCCGAAGTGGGCGTTGGAAAAGCGTGGTCGTGGCCCCTAAACCCCAAACCCTTAAACTCTTAAACCCTTAAACCCTTGAAACCCTAAACCCTTAACCCTTAAACCCTTAAACCCTAAACCCGAAACACTTAAACCCTAAACCCCTAAACCCTCTTCAACGGAGAGCTTTACTGTGAGCCATCCACTTAATAGGAGGCCCTTGGAGGCCCTCTCAGCTCCACACGCACTGAAGCACGTAGTATGTGTATTTGTATATATAGATATGTATATATATATATATACACAGATTTGTATATGTATATATATATATATACTTATATATATATATATGTATATATATGTATACTGTTCCTACCCCCTTATAGGGTAGGGCTCCTTATTAGCTTGACGACAAGATACCCACAACACCGTATTCTAATTATTAAGCCACATATATTTTCAGACCCTGCATAGGAACCGTATTAAAGCTTTTAGGACCGCCCCATAGATCTAAGGTTGAAACCCTGGGCCCCTAGTATGGGCCCTTAACCCTGGGATCCTTATATACCTACTATATACCCTATATGTACCCTTAAGGGTCCCTGTTAGGGGCCCATACCTCTAACCTTAGAATAGAGGTTGTCCTTCGGAAAGAGAGGGCCGGCTCAAGAAGCCTGTGAGACTCGACGGGCGCAGGAGGAATCAATACAGCTCTTTGGGCTTAGGGCTTATAGGGCTTAGGGCTTAGGGCTTAGGGCTTAGGGTTTAGGGTTTAGGGTTTAGGGTTTAGGGTTTAGGGTTTAGGGTTTAGGGTTTAGGTTAGGGTCTAGGAATTGGTAAAGTTCTTGAGTTTTGAAAAATAGTTCCTTGACTCCATATCTTGGACCTTGACCTTGAGCCCAAGATCTCAAGACAGCCAGTTGAAGACATCAGATGTCGTATGATGAGGGTTTATCATCAGGGTTTGGGGTATAGGGTTGGGGGTTTCCTGAGCCTTGGGGATCATGTGCTTTGCCCTCAAGGGCTCTCGCCACGCGAGATAGGATGTCCAAACTCCCAAACTCTTCACCGCCTACACCGGGGCTAAAGATGTTTGCTCCTGTATAATGTTCGAAGAACCCATGAAGCCCATGGCAACAAAGGTTCACAGGCGAGCTGATCCTTCGAATTTGGGCTGGTGGAGCCTCAGCTAAATAACAAGCTGCCTCAATCGCTGGATGGCTAGGTCGGAGCATAACAAGCCGCGGTCGACTGGCTCTGTTCCGGGTGGCAAACAGACCGTTCGATGCTGTACAAGCAAACCCTGAAACAAGAGGTCGGAACGCCCAGCTCTAGTCCCCGAGACTCTAAGGAAATAGTACCAGTATGTACCAGTATTCATGATGGTAGTGCCTCCACGAAGCCCTAAACCCGAAACCCCATCCGTTCGAGTTTGAGCACCGCAACCCCTAAAGCCGAAAAGAGCGAGTATGGGGACGGTGGTGATGGGCCCCAGTCGTCATAGTATCGGAGCAAGCCCAGGGTAGAGCACAAAGGTAATCCGAAGGGCAAGAATCACGATAAGCGAAACCTAGAATGGTCACGATAGCAAATTCCCTCTAGCACGAACTCATCGAACACAGTTGATGTGGCAATATCACTAATATCGGATGGTTGCTTCAGTTGAAGCACACTCAACACTGCTGAGACTGCGAAGAAATATGCATAGCCAGAATAGCCGTACTTAGACTGGAAAAGCGTCGGGGAAAGCTGAACTCTAATCCCGAAGCCCTAAACTAAACCCAAACAACTGAACTCTAATCCCCAAGCCCTAAACCCTGGGTTTAGGGTTTAGGGTCCCTAACCCCCTAAACCCCACGCCTTGAGGAAGACACTTCTTCTGCTCGAAAGAGTGGCCCTGGGTAACCTTGGCGGCGATAGCAGGGCATAGGTTATCGACATTTGCTACAAGGTTCAGGGTTTTGACGTGTCGATCGGGCTCGTAGGGAGGAAAAATTCAGAGAGACCTCGTTCAAAAAGGGTGTTGTAAGGCCTTCATGATAAGACTGTTCTCATAGAAGTCCTAGAAACTACTTGTTTAATCCCCTCATAGAAGTCCCAGAAACTACTTGGCTTTAATCCCTAAGCCCTAAACCCCAAACAATATTAGAGTCCCTCTTCTCCCACCTCAGGACTCCTCAGGTCACGGTTTAGGGTTTAGGGTTTAGGGCCTGTGCCCCAAACAGGGAGCGAAGTTCAAGAAGGCAACGGGTCTGGGGAAAGGGATCCTGGGTTTCAGGGGTTAACATAGCGGCCTTAATAATAAGATAGGGTTTTGGGGCATAGTTCTGCTATCGTTATAATGAGGAACCCCCCAAAACCCTGTTCTAATTATTAAGGGCCCTACAGTAGGGCTCAAGAGGGTGTAAGCTTGGCTGGCTGTAGGGGGAGTTGCCTGGAGGCTGCCTCAATGAGTCTCAGTGAAAGGTAGACTTTGTTAACAAGTAACTAGCCATAGGTTCAGTGAAATATACGGAATATATACGGAATAACACGGGTACGTCATACTGTCTCCGTGGATCTGCCGTGTTCGCCGCCCTCCCCATGTTCAAAACTCATCACAGTAGAATCAGTAGAATGTTAAGATCATCATCATAGTAAGGGGGTAGTAACATGGGTAGTTCTCTAAATTAGGATCCCTTTTTGGATCCCCAAAACAGTACGTCCCTCTTATGAACAAAAAGACCTTAAACGGGATATTAATTTAGAAAACTACCCACATGCTGGTCATAAGAATAACCACCACAGCCCAGACCGCTCCAAGCCCGCTCCAGTCAAGTCTACTTGGAGGGTCGGGAGACTTAGTAAGTAGGTAATAAGTAGACTTATAAGTACCCTAAAAGGGACCCTAATTGGGGTTATAGTACTTATAAGTCTATAAGATAACCAATTACTAAGTCCCCCGACCCTCCAAGTAGCCGAGGCTCCCCACTGGGGCATACACAAGGGGGACTGGCGGGGGAGTTGGGAAAACTCAGCGTTATCAGGTCGAAAACGCAGAATTTTTCTCTGTGACAAAAGACTTGGCTGGAGGCTTGGCTAGGTGGTTGTTGGCTGAGTTTTGGCCGGAGGGCCTGGGCTGGAGGATGGTGGATTACCTATAGTCTCCATTGTAGTTCCTTTTGGGGATACCTTATAGAATCCTTCATATATAATTGGTTAAACCACAAAAAGGAACTACAATGGAGACTATAGGTAGAGGGGTCTTGGTCGGAGACTTGGCTGGAGGGCCCTGCCTGGAGCTTGTTTGGAGGGGTCTTGGCTGGAGGACCTTGGCTGGAGAACTGTGGATTGGAGGGAAATTGATTACAAGGAAAAGTTTTTGGCTGGAGTTGTTGGCTGGGGTGTGTTGTGGGCTGGTGGGGCTTAGCTGAAAGAGTTTTAGTTGCACGGTTCTTGGCTGGAGACTCGGAGGGGTCCACCTGAAACCACGAAACCACTTTAATTACGGACCTTGAGCTTAGAGATTCTGAAATCGTCGCCGTACAATTTGTGGTAGAACGGTTTCGGTGGCGGTGGTTACAGAGGCGCTGGTCATGCTGACGACGATGCTAACACTGGTGGTAACATGAACAGAAGAAGATGATGATAGTGAGCTTGATGACGGTGGCCCGTCGACACTGCTGTCGCTGATAGTCACATATAGAAGTTTACCAGGTTCTGCCAGGTGCTGCTAATGATAATGCGTCTAGCCATGGTGAGGAAGAATACAAGGCTCGCGTTCCGTTTTGATGCTGATGCCCTGGAACTCGCTCACAGCGAGTACAAGAGCTGTTGCGCAACGGCAACCTCACTCAGAGCACCCTGACAACTACATGAACATAAGTACACCAGACGTACCAATGCCAACCGAAGCATCGTCATCTGCACGTTCACCATTGGGCCTACACGAAACACGACAGCCAACATAACCCAAAGCTGCCTGGAGCCCTAGATTTCGAGCTGCCTTCCCAGTGAAAGTTTAGAAGGGCTTGGGAGTTTAGTATTGCTGCGCCCTGATTGTGAGAAGGGTTTTCCGGGAGGCTTTTGGAAAACACAAACAGGGACTACAAGGGGACGCCGGTACAGAACAGGCCTCTTTCTTTCGGCTTTTTTGTCGAAAACCCTAAACCTGAAGCCTTAAAGCCGTAAGCCCTGTTGAGATTACGGACTCAGGGTTTGGATTGGGGATCCCAGGCGGTTCTGGATGCGTTCATTGTGGCGAGCTCCCTGTGGGAGGTGCTGAACCACGGCAGCAGACGTGGTTCCGGGCTTCATTCTAGGGTCTATGAGTTAGCATTCATAGGGTTTGGGAGTTATAAAGGTATATGAAGGATACACCCAAGGTGTCACGGGCTCTGGCAGTGTCTTTCGAACAGGAGCGGGGTGGCTGTGGATTTCCTATCATGAAACGATGGAACAGTTGCTCCGGGGTTTTGGTGGGACAGGCCGAAGATTCACACAGCCATGCTGCGAAGCATCTTCGCGCACAAGAAAATCCTTTTTTTGCATCCAGCCTGCGGCGCCTTTGCACACAAGAAAATCCTAAACCCTGTAACCCCTACGTGGACCCCAAATAACCTACCTTTTCAGGCCTCCTCATCAAGGTCTTGGCCGTAAACAGGTAGGTTATTTGGGGTCCAGGTAAGCCCTAAGCCCTAAACCCTAGGCACTTAGCCGTAAACCCTAAACCCTAAACCCTAAGCCCTAAACCCTGACTGTTGCTCTGGAACCTGATCTGGTTTCGGGCTATAGAGCTTACGGCTCCCGACCAGGGACCTGAGTTGTAGGCTTTGGGTTCTGGGTGTACCTATAGTACCCATGCTTGGAGGTTCATGGGTAGTTATAAGTGGAGTTATAAGTCCCCTAACATGGTTTATAATTATAGTTACGCTACTTATAACCCGACTTATATCTGTAGTTCCTCTTTTTGGTTTAGCCGCTTATATGTTTAGGGTCCTATAAGGTAACCGCAAAAAGGGAACTGCAATGGAGACAAAAAGGTAAACTGTTACATTGAAAAGGCAAGACTGTCGCAAGTGGGCACCTATGTCCAAAATAGTACAGCAGCCTTATACGCGGGGCCCTAAAAACTGCTTTTCCTTTTTTGAGAGAACCACCCCCATATGAGTCCCTAAACCCTAAAGCCTCCGCGATATCTGCTGGATGGAAAAAGGGCCTTAAAAAAAGTAACGCCTAGACCCTAAACCTTAAACCCTAATTGGCCCGATCCCCCCATCAATGTATCACGCCGACCTCTGCACCTGTGAATCCTCGCCTGGCTTGTCCGAGTTGAGAGCGTGTAGTTAGACCTTAAACCCTATAAAAGGCGATGTGTGTGCAATGTTTAGCGAGGGTTGGGGGCTTTTCAGTCCCAAGAGGCGTGAAGCCCGTAGTTGCATCCCTGATTCTAGAATAGTTGTTAGGGTTTAGGGGTTTAGGGTGTGGGGTTTAGGATTTAGGGGTTTAGGTCCAGGGGTTTGGTGTTTAATGTTTAGGGTTTAGGGGTTTAGGAGCTGCTGGGCTTCAGAGGCGACCGACTCCAGAAGCCTGTTGCAAAAAGGGTTTTAGGAGCTTGATACCTGAAGCTTTCTAGAGCATCCGGAGAAAGCGCCCGACAGTGTTGCCCGCAGCCTGAAGCCCACCACCCTATTCCTCTCAACCCCATCTTCCCGAAAGAGTAAGTCGTTTGCTTTTGTCTAGTTTTGTTTTGATTGCAGCCGGATAGCCCTGCCCATAAGCTCTACCGAAAAAAAGCATCCGACGCCGAAGCAAGGATCGATATCCTTTATGCTGCTTACGAAGCTGCTGGTGACCTGGAGACTCCGCCAAAGCTGGCTGAGTTGAAGGTCCAGGGTTCGGGGTTTAAGGATTTAGGCTTTTGGGGGTCTAGGGTTTAGGTGTTAGGGGTTTAGGTTTTGGATTTGGGGGTTAGGGTGTAAGTTGAGGGTTTAGGGTTTAGGTGTTAGGGGCTTGGATTTGGGGGTTAGGAGGTTTAGGGTTCAGGATTTAGGGCCCTAAACCCTAGCTCTAGGATGTATTTGAGAGTTGTTTACCTGCCCAAGTCTCCAGACAGGCGTGCAATTGTCATCCCTGCTCTCAGCTGATACTGTAGCAAAGAGCCTGGGTTCAAAAAAGGGCCCTAAACCCTGAACCCTAAACCCTAAACCAGGTTTGATGGCTTAGGGTGTATACAGGGTGCTGGGCGCTCCTGGGGTGTAGAGTTGAAGGGCCTAGCTTGCTGAATAGTCCGATGTTGCAAGATCCCGAATTCACAAGGCAATGTCGTTCATTCTTTCATGTTTTCCGTATATTTCACAGTACATGTAAGTCCCAATCCCCCCAACAAAATAAATAAATACATAAATGAATAAAGAAAATATAATATTAGTAAACCAAAACTTTGAACCCTCAAGGCTCCTCATTCAGAATCACACCGACTGCTCCTGATAATTTATTTAGCGTGTAGGAGTTTAGGGTTTAGGGGTTCAGAGTTTTAGGGTTCGGGGTTGAGGGTTTGGGGTGTAGGGGAGCCCCTAAACCCTAAACCTCCAAAAGCCCCTTTTCAGAATCCAAGCCCATGCTGAAAAGAGGCTTTTGGGGGTTTAGGGTTTTGGGGGTTCAGGGTTTGGGTCTAGGGTGCAAGTAGTCCCTATCTATTTGTTGGTTTTTGTATCCAGAAAGGCCCCAAAGTCCCACCATCATGGAGTACCAGGGTTTAGGGTTTAGGGTTTAGGGTAAAGCCCTGTTATAGAACATCTATGCAACCCTGCAAGATTGCACAGCAGGGCCCCAACCAAAGGAAGCCTGGAGCTTCTGGAAAATCCAACTTCCTCGGCTGCTAAACCCCCTTCCAAGCCCGGAAGCCCAAACAACCCTAAACCATAAACCCTTAAACCCTAAACCCCTAAACCCTAAAACATGAGGAAAGCCTGGACGGCTTGACGGGGTTCAAGGCCTTCCGGATCATCCGAATCACGCGAATCCTCAAGACGGCTCGACTGATGAGGACCTTACTCCGTCCGGAGGCGTACCTTGTTTGTGCTTGCGCGCTACGGGCCTGAATTCTGGAAGCTTGGGGCCAAAGTCGAACAAAAAAATGGTTCCCCAATACCCAACGCCGAGTTCGTGCCAGTAGTCTTTCCCTTCGAAAGTGCCCATGATAGCCCCGTGTCCTTGTCTGGTCTGACGCAATTCAGGGTGGTAGTATTTTAATGATGCCAGTGAGTTCAACACCGGCTGGGCCTAACTGATGCAGAATCGCTGCGCGGCATGGATCAGCAGAGTTTGGTGCCAGATGTCGTGGCAACATCATGTGACATGTTTTCCGCCAAACATCAAGAGGCCCAAGTCGCTACAAACCTGCATCCAACAAAGGTGTTGAACTTATCGCGAAAGAAGGTGTTGACTCCATCGCCGGTATTGAACTTACTGGGAAAAGGACAGCAGGAAAGAGACAATCCAGATCAACAAACTGAAACACTGGTCTCGGTATTGAACTTTTTGGGCATAAATCTCAGCCGATTTTTCTGCCACCCGGGATATTGCCCGGTAAGTTCACCACGAACCCAACCCTCCCAGGATGAAGTATTTTCCGATGCCAGGTTCATGACCAGGGATTGGTCTGATACCTTAGGCTCTGGTCTAAAGAACTCGAAGCTTCAAGTTGCTCTAGATTGCATTTTGCTGGGATGCTCCTCTTGCCTTGAATCGCTGTGTTTCGGGGTCATTCTAGCCTCTCTGAGTAACCCAGGTTCCGATCAGAAAGTTACCAGCTGTTGAGCTTGGCGTAACCCCTAAACCCAGGCCCCACTGCCGCCAGTTGGTGTGGCCTCCCCTCCCCAGCCCCTTCCAGAGCTCCGGGCAGGGAAAGCTGGAACAGCAATATGATAATTGCAATTCAATCATACATCCTTCTAAACACCATAACGACAATCATAAGAACGGTAAAAAACGCACCAGTTGAAAATCGCGGTCCTAGCAAGCATTAGGGTCATACAAGTCTTGCCTGGTTCTTCTGTATACCAAGCTTTCTTTGCCGCGTAGTCACATTACCTGTGGCCCGACTTGATCTTTCGCAGGGTGTGGCAGAACTGAGAATGTATTGGGCTTCCTGCAATGCGGAAGTTCGCCACACCTGACCCTGCTTTGAAATCTGACTTCTCGAAGGATCTTCCGATTTGTTCTGGCACTGCGGACCTTGATCACATCAATCACTCACACGCTCAAGTCTCCCAGCTGCCATCTGGCGTTCGTCGCATTGATGCGCATGACTTGCAAGCCTTCCTCTGTAGGCATATTTTGGGGGCATGGTTTGCTCGGGTCATAGACTACGCCTCACTTGATGGCTGGAAAACAAAACTTCCGAGCTAGAAGGCTTCATGCAACTGTTCAAGCAGATGTCGCTAAGCGTCCATCCAAGCAGGTGCCTGAAGGAGGTTCAGTGCATGCTCACATGTGCCTACGTCCATAAAATGTCATGACACTTCTGGCTAAGTGCTTTCGTGGGTCGGAGGCATGCAGTCCTTCCAAATCCAGTCCCCCTGCCGATCAAGAGAGGAAATGAGACCTCAAGGCACAGCCGATAACTTCGCCCAATCTGTGCCCGAGGTGCAATCTTGTGAAGATATTTGATGTCACCGAAGCATACAACCTCTATAGACCCTAAAAGCCCTAGACCCAGGGCAATCCAGGGGCTTTCCGGCGAAGCTTTGCGCAAGGTCTCTCATTTGGGCGCTGATCCTACTGGCGTTGATCATGTCGCTGGGACGTGTGTTTTTTTTGACGATTCGAGTTTAATGTTTAGGTTTGGTATGGTCGCAGGTTTGTGGAGTTTCGGGTATCGCCCTTCGGATGAGCTGCTCTTGGCTGTCCTAATCCTAGGCCGCCGTGAAGTAGAGCCTGCAGTAGACCCTAAGCCCTGAACAGTAGAGAGCCTCAGTTGCTCAACCTTTGCGATATTTTGGGGTTTAGAGGTGTAGGGTTGAGGTGCAAGATATTTCGGCAGCTGAAAATAACAAACAACGTTGGAAAGCCCTCGACCCAGCAGGGCTTGATTTGGGAGTACGGATTTAGGTACGACAAGGCTCACTGTAAGGGTTAAGAGTTAAGAGTCATGCCGCATAGTATATGTTTGGAACAATCGCACGCTTGAGGTGCCTCTTGTTGTTTGGGGTGGCTCCGCCCCAGTCAAGAATCGTAGACATAGTCTACAACCCGCCAGTCTTGCAGTATCAGGCCCCCGTGTGAATCGCAGAATCTCAGCAGGAAAATGCGTGCGGATGTCGAATGAGCATGTGTACCCGACGGGAGGTTGTGGTATTGCGGATAGTAGTCTATGTCTGTGATGTTTACGATGTGCCTCACCAATGTTCTTGGACCACATGCGCCCCTCCAATTACAACAACGAGAAGTTGTTCTGCTGCTGTCGTTGTCAAGCCAAGTGCTGGGGATGAGTTGCACCGAAACATTACCCAGGGGCTCCAACGTAGTTCCTTTTTGGGCCTGTTATGGTTTTTTGGTAAGGCATTATATAGTATACTATCCAAAGCGAACTACGTAGGAACCCTTGGGTATGTCCATGTGCAAGACCGGGGCGGCTGTGCGCACATGTTGACCACTGCAGATCCGCTTACTTATCATGGGTAGAATCTACAGGATAGTATACGACCTTGCATCCCCACCAGAAGGAAATCAGTGGGTTCAGCATATTCTAGAAAATCTACTGTAGATTCTACGGTCTAATCCTGTCGAGTATTCATGTTTGTATCTAGCAAGCGAGGTCATGTAGGGGCCTTAATTAGAATAGGGTTTCGGGGTAGTTATACCATATCTACAAAAAGAAACTCCCCCCCAACTAGCATAGGTAATTCTTTAGGCTCCTACATGATAGGGATGCCGATAACCGAGGCTCACGGACTTCCAAAAAGCAGCAGAGCCTGAACGTCGCAGCTCTTACGTTTAGAGTTTAGGCTAGGCCCAAAGTTCCCACGAACAAAATTCCAACTCCGAACCTTTATCTTCCTGGTTTCGTATGATGTGTGTGTGTGTGCGTTATCATGCCAGTAAACCCCAACACCTTAAAACCCTGGAGACCCGAAAGGTACATCTTCGCGCTCATGTTCGTGCAAGCTGTGCAGGGCTACCTTGCAGATCCCGAGAGCGCACCTATGTCGGATCCCTCGGCTGTTTAGAGCTAAGGGTAGGGTTAGGGTCCAGGCTTCAGGGTTTAGAGTTTAGGGTTCAGGGGGTAGGGTTTGAATGCGCGATCTCCCGTCTAACCTCCAAGTAGAGACACTTCGCCTGTGTTGTTTTGATTCACTGTTTTTGTTCAGCTGTGGCTCGTTTGCCCACTCGCTGAAACTGCTTGGAGTGTCTTATCTCGTGTAAGCTTCACCAATCTTGTCACACAGGGTCTTGTTGAATTCCGGCATTTCGCACTCTATAAAGTCCAGGCACTCATCATTCCCTCAGTTCTCGAATCTGGAACCAATCTGAAAGTCGAAGCCCTATAAGCCTCAAACCCTAAACTCCATCCCGTCTATAGACCCTACAGCCTAAAACCTAAACCCCAAAACCAGAAACCCTAATTCTTAAACTCCTAAACCCCTAAATCCAAAGCCCTTAGCCGAAGTTTCAAGCTTAAGGCTCCCCCAAGGCTACTTAGGAGTCTTGCCATCATCCTACGAAGGAGCATAGAGGTCTGGCAGTTGAGGCCCTCATTCTAGTTCTCTTATAGGTGTAAGTAATTAATGTAGGGGCTTTAGTAGATACCTACATTATTGTTGGGGTTCCTTGTTATAAGGATAGAGGGTCCTTCAGCTGAGATCTTCGAAGTGGTCTTGCATACTGTGCAGCGGGGGAGTTGTGGACTCTCTTGGACTGTCTAAACCCTGAACCCGAAACCCGAAATCCTGATTGTCAGGATGCTTTAACAGGAAGCTTCGACTGTCGTGGTTTAGGAGACCCACCTTTGCTTTTGCCACAGACCTTTCTGGACTCGGGGCGGCCGGGTATAGCTGCACAGCTGCCGGCAAGAGATCGAAGGTAGAGGTTGAGCTAGATTCAGCTAGATGTATAGGGCCAGGAGCTTAGGATTTAGGGCTTGGGGAGTAGTCCACGGAAAAGCAATACGTCAGCTGAGGATGCCGACGAATATCGTGCCAAGTCATACTTCGGCTCGCTCATCGAGACCATGCTCAGCCACTAAACTTTGCAGAGACGCCTAAAGCCTGAGACCTGAACTCGTTTCAGGGTTTAGGGTTTAGGGTTTAGGGCCTTAAGCTTTGCTTGAAACTTCTTCACCTTACGCTTGTAGTAAGGAAGCTAGTCGTAAAATTACGGACAACTCCAAGCACATCGATACAGTGTTTACGAGCCTGTTTGTGGCCACGCGAGCCGTCGAGTACTGTTGGAACTTGTGGTCTCAAGCGGTTTGAGGTCTTGGACTAATATAGCGGTCTAAATAACTACCCGTACTATGTTTTTGTTTTTTTTTTGGGGGGAGGGGGGGGCTCCTTATTATAAGTACAGTAATTATATTATACTCCAAAACCTTTTTCTAACTATTAAGGCCCCTATCTTTCTTGTTTTGTTGCTGAAGGCTTCCGGATTGCAGGTCGCAGGCTACGGGTTCTTGTGGTGTAGATTTGCCAACCTGAAGAGTCAGCCAGCGTATAGGGACCCTAAACCCGAAGCCCTAAACGTGTTTCAACAAGATCTTGGGCGCACAGGATACTCCGGTAGTATTTAGAGTCTCACTTCCAGGCATCCGGCAACTTCTTGGTTTTTTCAGGAGCTTAAGCCAGTTTAGGCTTAGGTCGGGATGTTGAAGATCTGGTTGAGACTTCTAGGAATTTAGGTGAAGTTCCCACGGCAGCACCGAACCAAGGCTCTCAAGCCTCATCGGGGTTCAGCCTTTTTACTTGCACATGGAGGTGAGCCTCATCCGGTGAGCTTTATATCGGAAATGCGCAGCCCATCCCCTTTCAGCTGGAGGATCAAGAAGTACTGGTCAAACCTGGGCGGCGATAGCCTAGATAGAACCCCCGAAACAGCAGGAATATCCTCGACTCAAGCACCAGCTGAGACCATTGATTCCAATTTTCTGGGGCTTCACTGAAGACCCTAAACCCTAAACCCTAAACCGCTTCAAGAGCTTCCGAAGACACCGCAGACCCGGCCCGCACCGAGGTTTGTTCATGTCCATCTCTGATGGCGTGAGTTGGGAGAATGTGATCTCACCCCTTCTCCACATCTCGCCGGCCGGGTTCGGGCTCGGTTCAGAGGTATTGTGCAACCCATAGGCCCCATAGTAGTTCCTTTTGGGGGTTCATATTTAGAATCCTACAAGGTAATCCCAAAAAGGAACTACGTTGGGGCCTATGGGTAGCTGCCACGCATCACCGTAAATCCGAAAAGGTCCTAACTCGCAGGCCTCCTGGAATTGGGAGGAGGGCTTCAGAGGTAAGCAGGATCCCTCGCTGAGAGGTTAGAGTTCTGAGATCAAAAAAACGGCTTACCTAGGGGTTTAGGATGCATCTACGCCAAGACTGATCAAAAAACTGCTTAACTAGGCTATAGGATGTATCTAACGCCAAGAGGTTCCTGAATCTGGAGAAATCGTCACTTCTCGGCCTTGTTTGGGGGGAGTTGGGGGCTAAACCATAAACCCTAAACCCTAAACCCTAAACCCTAAACGCTCAGTCGCAGGAGTCCGGGGTGAGTTTGGTTGCTGCCTCTCTAGGCGAGAGAAAGGCCCGTAGGACTTTCGGAATCTTGCGAGTCTGTGTTTGGGGTTTAGGGTTTAGGGTTTAGGGTTGAGGTTCAGGGTTTAAGGCTTAAAGGTTTAGGGTTTAAGGTTTAGGGTTTAGGGTTTAGGGGTGGTCCTGATACTACGGGCCCTGCTCCTTCCAAGAGGGCTAAGGCCGCAAGTTTGGGGGCTTCTGAGCAGGCTATGGCATGGTCTCGTAGTTTTTTGGCTGTTTGGAGGGCCTCTGAGAGGGCTATAGCATTGGTCTCATAGTTTTTTGGCTGTTTTTTTATGACTTAGGCGCACTGTGGCATTTAAGCCCGACTGTCCCGGATATGGGATTTCTCACCCCATCAAAGCTTCGAAGAGCCAGCGGCTCAGCCTCCCCAGTTTCGTAAGCCACGGCACTGAGGGGCTTAGTTCCCGTACACCGTTCGCGGGCGGGAGCTAGGTGTTCGCCCTTATTCTAACTCCTTGCTCCTCTAACACGCTCGAACCCTCAGTTTAAATGTTTCTTCGGCAAGGCACGAGGCCTCAAGCAGAAACCGAGGTCCTTATCGTGTCTTGGGAGTCTTCCGTGACACTTTGTTGCCGGCTCCTGCCCCGGAATCCACCTCCAACCTTACCTATAGTCTCCATTGTAGACCCTGTTTTTGGTTTAACCTATCTTGTATATCCAGGATCCTATAAGGTAAGCCCAAAAGGAACTACAATCTAGACTATATAGGTAGATCCCACGGCCCAAATCTCGACGCCTTATTCCTTAGACCGTAGACCCTTGAACCCTCAACCTCTATCACCTAACCGTAAACCCTAAACCCTAAACCCTAAACCCTGAACCCAACCTCTAACACCTAACACCCCTAAACCCAAAACTTTAACCCGCAACCCCGCCGACGACCTAGGACCCCAAATCCAAACGGCGAAGTAACCCTTTAACAAAACCTGAAGCTCTTAAGCACACTGGCCCAAGCCACCTGAACCCGATGCCCCTCATAACCCCTAAACCTGAACCCCGAATCCCTGAAGTTGATGTCGGAAGAATTCGTATACTACCTATAGTCTCCATTGTAGTTCCTTTTTTTGGTTTAACCAACTCTATATCAAGGATTCTATAAGGTATCCCCAAAAAGGAACTGCAATGGAGACTACAGGTAGTATTTCCCATGGAGTCACGACTATGGTTATACAAGAGCATATCTCAAACCCTCTTCCAAGTATTCTAAGTCTGAGGCCCTTGTCGTAAAGCCTAAAACCCTACAGAACCCTAATATAATATAGGGGCCTTATGATTAGAATAGGGTTTTGGGGCCCATTATACTATACTTGTAATAATAACCCATTCCCCCCAAGAAAATAGTATTGGTAATTATTTAGGCCCCTACATTAACTCAGCTTGGGAGGTCTGGGGGATCCTCTACACCTTCTATGTCTCGCCACCCGGCCGAAGAGAGCTAATTTTAGGGTTTTTTTGGGGGTTAGGGCCACAGCAAAAGCCGCAAGCTTTGGTTTAGCGCTTCCGATCTTCACTTCGGGTCTCGCAAGCCTGTTCCAGCCCATTTTTTGGGTTTAGAGGCTTGCGATCTTCGGTTCGGGTCTCGAATTGAAGGGTCTTTCTAGAGCTTTCGAGCTTGACTTTGCTCTAGGGTTCTGCGCTTTTGGGAAATTATCTCCGAGAATGGGGGTGGGGGGGGTTACTGGCTGAGGGACTTGTCTTTGGGGTTTCTGGACTCACTGCAACTTGAGGGCCTTTCTTCAGGGTCAGGGTTTAGGGTCTATCTTACTGGCTTCGGGTTTTCAGATGCTGGGGGGGAAAGTCACCCCATCCGAGATCTCAAGCCCGAAAATGAAATGCATCGATTCTAAACCTGAACACCAAGTCCTAAGCCCTAAGCACTGAACCTTCAAGCCCATACTATGAGCCCAAACCCGAAGCCTTAAGCCCTAAATCAGCCGGTGAAGGATTCAACCCTTAAGCCCTTTAACCCCAAAGCCCCAAACCCTGACCCAGAAGAAGGGGTTAGGCGTTCTGGGCTGTTGTTAGGAAGCCACTATAGCTCAGGTTTAGTTCACGGTCTCGGATCTTGATGGTCTTCGGGCCCTGGTACAGGGTTCCTGTAGGGTTTAGGGGTTTAGTTAGGCACCCCGAAACGCCATTCCAGTTGTGGGGCTCAGATGACGGAATCGGCAATTTAGGGCTAAAAGTTTGCTAGAGTTGCTGGGTTAAGGGTCCCAGGCTTTAGGGTTTTAGAGTTGCGCGCTTGAGTATTCTAGGGTTTCGAGTGCTTCGGTGGCTTAAAGTGCTGATTTTGGATACTGCCTCCACTCAGTCGCAGTTGAATAATAATTACTGTATAAAGTAGATATATATATATATATACACATATTTCACATATATATATATACATATATATATATATGTAAAGATAGATAAATGCAGTGAGTAGTATCCCTAGTATAATTGACTCTTACTGTATCTTACTTCAGCGGAGCAGTAGCCAGCGCTTTTTGCCTGAACTGTTATGGGCGGCTGGGGCTCAGGGCTGAGGCACGTAGGCTTCACCAGAGGCTGCTGGCTCGAACTTAGGATTTTTCAGGTGTTTTTCTGGAAAAACAGGGGTCTATGGGGTTTAATGGTTTAGGGCGGGCGAGCTCCAATCAAGCCTGTGCAAAAGGGTGGGGTCTAAAGTTTGCGGGGTGTTCCAGTTTGGGTTCAAGACTTAGGGCTCACTGTTTAACCTGGCATGTTGCGGTTGAAGGGCTTGGGGGTTCAGGGCCCAGAAGCTCCCATCCCTGACGGCTGAAGGTTCATCTGCTTCCCTAAACCCTATAAACCCTAAACCCAAACCTAAAAAACAAAAGAAGGTTCATCTACTTCGCAGTCCTGAATGCCGCGACCTCAGCATGAAGCGCTGCCCTGCTTTATTTAAAGGAAACTACAGGTGGGGAGTTTAGGGTATATAGGGCTTCTATAAGGCTTCTACAAAGTATATGAACCTTCTATAAGGCTCCTATAAGGGTAACTACCCACCTGACAATGTCCTAGATTTACCAGAACAAGGCACCGGACTGACTAAAGTGGTGCTGCGATAGGGTTTTCCATGCCAAGCCATAAAAGGCCCAGAGATGCTGGTGCACCAAAAGGTGGACTGCCTTTTGCCACAACGGGGTGCCTCAGGGCACGCACCCAGTACCAAAAACAAGTGATTCTGATTCGTAATAGCATACTACGGTTGATGATATAAATCCTGGGTTACCCATAAGAAGGAATAGACCATAATTCCCATAGTGTACGGCCCTCAAGGTAATGCAGGATTTGTATCATCAACAGTACTGCTTCTAATGGGAGCTATAACAACCAGAGACCCACAGCTGCTTCCCGGATTCCGAGTGAAACCGTGAGGTCTTGACCGCGGTTTTCTGTGTCTTGGCATTGGTGGGATCCGTGCGGGGGGATAATTCGTGTTGAAAGTTCTAAACGTGTCGAAGCCCGAAGCAGTGTGTAGGTTCATAGGGCATTAGTGTCCTAAACCCTAAACCCTATACTATGGCAATTTAAGGTTCAGGGTTTAGGGCCATAGATGGCCGCAGGGTTTGGGGGGTTTGATGTATGCTGTATAGGGTTTGCAAAGTATGTGCTGGAGCTTCTTGGGTTGCGAACTAGGGTTTAGAGGGTTTAGGTTTTAGGGTTTAAGGTTTAGGGTTTAGGGTTTAGGGTTTTTGGATATGCAAAGAGTTGGACATTGTACTGCAAACAGGAGCGAATGATCCAGCAGCGCGCAAGCATGGTTCTCTGACTACTTGCAGTAAGCCCAACCCCACACGTGTTATCGAACAATTGCCTGCCGTTGTTCGTACTGAATACTTGTTCTCTGCTGTCACAGTGCCCGGTGGGAGATTTCATTGCACGTAAGCAGTACATCAAAAGGTCAAGAGCCGGACCCGATCCGTACCTCTAAATTCGAAAGCTTCAGCCTTAATCAACATCTTACGAAACCGCATAAGAACCCTTTTCCCTAATCCCCAAACCCCAGAAGATTTAAAAGGGCGTCTCATGGTTTCCCTAAGCTCGAGCCTAGGAAACCAACCCTAAACCCTAAACCCTAAACCCTAAACCCTAAACCCTAAACCCTAAACCCTAAACCCTAAACCCTAAACCCAAGCTCGAGCCTAGGAAACCGGCCCGGGCCCCTAATAAGCGAAGGCCAGACGGCCATCGAAAGTGCGCAGAACGATCATGCCACAGCGATCCATTCCATCATGGCCCACAAGGACTTTAGGGGGTTATAAGGCTTGGGGTCTAGGGTTTAGCGCCATGGTTTTCGAGTTCAGGGTTTTGGTATCTTGAAGGCTGTGAGTTTGGAGTAAGATCCTCTGCAATTAAGAGGTTGGCAGGCCGCCCAAAAGTGTGGGAAGATCTTCCTAAACCTAAACTGCCCTACACCCTACCTGCCTCGAGCCTTGACTCATCATGCTCGGTGACACCTGCAAGTCAGATTCCTGCCCGAGCAATTACTGTAGTCTCTAAATATCACGGTCCACGTCACCCTAAACCCTAAACCCTAAAACCCTAAACCCTAAGAGACCCTCTGGAGCAAGTGTGAGCGAGAGAGCCCCGGACGCGAGCTACTCTGGAGGCCGAAATACTTACCAATACCCCCAAACGGGATGACGTTTCGGGTTCTTAGAAGCTTTGCTTTGGTGCTCCGAAATGCGGCCTTATTTCAAAAACACTACTTATGGGCTTTGTGATGGGAGGAGTCGCACCTGGAAAAGATTCGCATCCTCTTCTCCGAGCTCGGAGACGAGAGAAATGACGTTATCACCTACGCCATGCTCCAGGGTCGCAAGTACAAGACCCAAAGAGACGAAGAAGAGCCCATAAAGAGGGAATGCTCCCTGAATCGTAGAGGGGTCCTCCATGTGGTTTAGGGTTTAGGATTTGGGCTCACTGGGGGCCTTGATAAGGTCCAGGGTGTAGCCCCGTCATGAAGTAACGACATGTAAACTGCTTTCAGCCTTTCTCGTCCCTTTCTCCGGGATGCCCGAACCCCCAAACCGTCCGACAATCTTATAGAGATTATAGAGTCTTACCAGGCAGAACTCCGGTTCCCAGTTCGCCATGACAGTCATCGCAACAACTGCAGCAGACAGTTAAACAGAGATGTCAGAACGTCTGAGAACCAATTATGACACTAATTCGTATTGAATTCCGACGATACTGCTGCCCCTGATGGTGATCGACAAGGACGGTCCCCCTCCTCACCCTTCCTCGTCATCAGAACCTGCAGCAGCCTCACCCATCACTGTATATCCCCGAAAGAACTGACAACCTGCAATCTGAATCGCTCTTTTTATTTAGTAGAGCAAGTGGGTTGTGGAGATGTTGGCCGGGTGGGCGATACCCCGATACCCAGTTGACATACCATGTCAACAGCGCCTCGAATTGGGGGAGAGAAGTGACTCCTTAAGATTTCTTAAGCCTAGACTCTAAACCCCGAACCCTGCCAGGAATGCCGGACGCGGATAGCTGAGGGAAAAGACGGTTCAACAAGAAAGCAAGCCCTAAACCCAAAACCCTAAAAGAGCCCTTTCTGACTGGGGGAGGGTGTTGGGAACTACCACAAAAAGCCACGAAGCACTTGCTCTAAAAGGCCGGATGACGCCAACAACAAGCATTTATCAAACCCTAAACCCTAAACCCTAAACCCAAATATGCAGGGTTTAGGGATTTAGGGATTTCGGAGCCTGGGTTCAAGACAAGTGGGTCTCAGGGTCTCGGGGTTTTGCAAAAAAGGATTTAGGGGTTTAAGGGTTGAGAGGTTTAGGGTTGTTTAAACAATACCAGTACTATTTTGGGTGTTCCTGATCATATGTATAGTATAGTATATCCTATCCCAACACCCTATTCTAAGTATTAAGGCTTCTGTATTATTGCCCGCAAGCAAACCCTAAACCCTAAACCCCTAAACCCTAAACCCTAAACCCTATGCAGACGGTAAGGTGGTTTTGGACCGGGTTTGGGGTGTGCTCGGCTGTATATCTATGCTCGAGAAACCTCCGGGGTATACCCTAAACCCTAAACCCTAAACCCCTAAACCCTAAACCCTAAACCCTAAACCCTAAACCCTAAACCCAAGCCACCCTAACCCTAAACCATAAAAGACAATCAGTCAGGCCGTGCTTATCCCCCAAGCCGTTTTTTGCAAACACCGCCACAGCTGAGCTAAGCCTCCTAAACCCGGGCAGATCGGTTTCAAAAGGGTTGTAGATGGGTAGCTCTCTAAATTAGGGTCCCTTTTTGGGTCCCCCAAATATGCCTCCAAGGACAGTCCTTCGTACGTTAAACATCACTTTCTTCATGTTCATGACTATCAGTAGTGCCACGATGAGTATCATTATTGTTATACAGCCCAACTAAACCCTAAACCCTAAACCCTAAACTCCATCAGGCTCGAGCGAAAGATGATGGCGCCTGAAACGCAGCGATACTTCGAATCTCTGGGACTGGAAATCTGGGATGTGTGCCTCGGCCGGGGCCCATCCTTCCGGGCAATATCGGGGTCAAAATCACTACCCAAATTATTATTATTATTGTTATTATTATTATTGTTAGAATAATAATAATAATAGTTATTAT